GTGAGTCACTTAGGCATGTCATCTCCGGTTGTTCGGCGCTTTCTAACTCTGAGTACTTGCACAGGCACAACCTAGTAGCCAGAATTCTTCACCAGGAGCTCGCTCTGAAATACGGTCTCGTGGAACGGAAATTGCCGTATTACAAGTACTTGCCGGAAGCCGTGCTCGAAAATGATCGCGCCAGGCTCTATTGGGACCGGGCCATCATCACAGACAGGACTATTCTTGCGAATAAGCCTGATATTGTGCTGATGGACCGGGCACAGTCAAGGATATTTTTGGTCGACATTACCATTCCGTATGACGAGAACCTCGTGAAAGCCGAAACAGACAAGCAAACAAAATATCTGGACCTGGCTCACGAGGTGACTGACATGTGGGGTGGTCTGCCGACCGAAATTATTCCTGTAGTCGTCTCTGCAAACGGGCTAATCCCAGTCAGCCTCTCGGGTCATCTGAGGCGACTGGGACTACGTGGCGGACCGCTCCGGGCTCAAATGCAGAAGGCGGTGCTCCTCGATACCGCCCGCATCGTCCGCCGGTTTCTTTCCCTTTCCCCCTAACCCTCGGCCGTTTGGTCTCCCCTGCCGAGGGCCTCCATCTGGTTGGGCTTTTATTTATTTATGTATTTTTATATTTATTTTATGTTATTGATATTTATGTATGTTTGTCTTTTCATTTTCATTTATAATTATATATTTATAGAACCCAACCAGATGAGAAAACTATATAGATACCCCACAATAATAATATAATATTATTTTGTATTTATTTTATTTTATTGATATTAATGTATATTTATCTTTTCATTTTAATTTATAATTTTTATATATTTAAATATTTATATAACCGAACCAGATGAGAAAATTATACGGCTCCAACGATTTTAGCGACGAACGCTTGGATTTATTTTTAGAAAATGTCCTTTTGTCCATGTTTTCAGGCAATAAAAAAAACTGCTACAATATAAGAAGGTAAATTTCGACTAATCATTAACGGTCGTTATAGCTCAGGTGGTATGTCGGTCGGTCGTGATATCGGAGTTCCGTGGTTCGCGTCTTGGCTTTGGTCCCGCTTTTTTTTCCTTTTTTTTTCAAGTTCCCTTCTTTTGTGAGAAAATTTATTATTTCAAACCCTTTTTTTTAGTAATTTTTAAAAATACGAAAATTTTAATTTTAAAAATTTAAAAAAATATATCTATTTAGTTACTAATGCTATATTTATTATTTTAATAATTACCTACCCAGTAGGTAAATATTAAAATAATAAATCTCCCTCAAACTCAATTTACTAATATTGCTCCTAAATAAGGAATAGCAGATAAAAGATTAGTAGGTAATAACTATTGCTCCTCAAAATTATATTTGACCTCAAGGTAAAACATATCCTAAAATTCAGTAGCTAAATAAAATAATAATAACTACTATTCAAGTATATTTTCAATATGTAAGTAAATGAAAATAACAAAAATGAAGCACCATTAGCATGTAAAGTTCGAATCCATAATTAATATTTCGACAAATATTATAATTTACACTATAAAAAGCTAATTCAATATTAGCAGTATAGTATATAGTTAAAAATAATCAAAATAGTCATTTTTATTAATTAGATAATATATTAGAATACATAATTCTAATATAATGCAACTAATATACCGAATAAAGAAAATTAAAATACATTTATCATTGTACGCCGTGTCTATTTCCATAGAAGAGTTCATTGACATTGAAAAAATAATACTACGTTCGTAGCAGTAGGTGGCGTCTTTTGGCGATTTCTTACGCGATATATTGTAGCGAGCGTCGACAGACCAAACGCTCAAGGTCGTTCGCTGGAGGTAGCGCCTTAACGGGAATACCCAGATATAAACTTGACGTGAATACCCAGTAACTGATTTTCTGATTAATGTGTTCAGCGATCAAGTTTACGAGTACTATACCGACGAACAGTAAAGACTCTTATAGATTCGTATCTACAACTTAGTGACAAATGATCAGTGTCTCTTAGTTAAGTTTTAGTTTACAAAGAGGCAACATTCATAAGTTGTTTGTAGTTCAGTCTACATTGTCAAGTGATTATAACTAATGGTCTTAACGCTTACCCTCCAAAAAAATGATATTGAATAGGTATTGTCTGTAGCCATTCTTTTTCTCTTTTAATCAAAGTAATTAATTTCTGACCTATGGCAAGAGTTTAGTAAAAAAAGGTAATGGAAACTGAAGAAAATGAGTTAGATTTTGGCCCATACCTACTAAAAAGGTAACATTTACAAAACGAGCAAAGAATGTTATGAAGATTATAAATTATAACTATTGACAATTAGGGACCATTGCAAAGAAAAAAATACGCGTAGTCTTCATAATACGGAGGTTAATTTAAATAATACGGAGATTATTTTCTTTCATTTGTTAACTGCCATTTTTTTGATAGATTCTGGGCTCGTGCAGTAAATCATAGACTTAATTTTGATTTCTTATTTCGCTCAATCTATTGAAAAGAATTATTAGTAAAATATTGGCTTCCTGTGCAGCACGAACACCTATCGATAATGACTTATTATCGGTAGGTGTTCGTGCTACAGAGCTTTAGAAACAGGATTAATGATTTCAAATAGTGAAGAAAAAAAAGCGACAAGCACTATAAAATCGTAGCTCTCAAAAATGGTAATTATATTTGTCATGTTTGTCTTTTTTAGTGGAAATAAAATTTAGTTGGTACCAAATTTTCATTATTAATGAATAATTTTGCCTTATAGCTGATATAACGTCGTTTCTTGACCATGTAGTGGGACACACCTTTCTAAGGGTAATTTTATATTTTTCAGACGAATCGTTACTCAACATTGACTAGCGTTTTGTACTATTAAAAAATAGTATTTAATAAAATTAACACTTCAGAAACACGTTTCGTAGCATCGTTTAAAATTAAATTTAATGATTGTGCCGCACAATGAACATAATTGCATTCGGAGCATGCTCTTTTATAAGGGTTTATAGTTCTCCATATACACCCGACATAACATTTGCTTCTTTGTAACCCTGTCCTCTACATTTGGACAAATCAATCAAAAGTACTTATTCCATATTCGTTTAAGGTATTCCAAATTACGTTTTAAAGTCCTTCTGCATTACAATCGAATACTGCTGTAAACCCCAAAAAAAATTTAAAGCACTTTTTTATTATATGATTTTTTCACGGGAAGTGCGGCCTACGAGTTTAAGGGATTGTGGATAACATTTTACGAATTTTTGATTATACACGTTCGGGGCCCTGGGGTAGCATCATTGACACGGCGGTAGCTAAGCGCCTGATAGTATGCCAGGCGCCAGAAAGTGATTAAATAGACGCGATGTTAACGCAGTAGTTGGTATTTGGTGACAGGTACGATTCCCGCATTGAGCAACTTTTTACAATCTAGCGAAATTGATACTGGTCTGCATGTTTCTCCAAGTGCAATTCTTGTATATTAGACACCACAATACGGGAAGAGTTCATAATTGGGGTGTAAGTTTCATATGTGGTAGAGCCATGTTGCAGCTATATTTATATGGTTGTAGCAAGGATCGGCTCAATTGGGGAAGGACCACGCTCTCACAGAATACCAGCGTAAAATAACAGTTAGATGCTGCTGTGTTTCCTATGGTGAGTAGAGAACCGGAGACTCTTTTTACTGCAAACGAGGCATTCCATCTTAGTCCGCAGGGGTGGCAACGCATCTGTATTTTGATTCTTAATCGAGGATATATGTAGATGTTTGTGGGCCACAGCATTCACTTACCATCAGGTTGACTGTGTGCTCGTTTGTCACTCATATTCTATAACAAAAAGTTAAAAAAGAAAAAAATTGCCAAGGATGAAGATTAATATATCTTCCATATTAATATATATCCCAATTTCGAGGTAGCTTATGGTGTTACTCAAAACCTAATGATGAACGTTAACGTTATTTATATGTATGCATGTAATATATTTGGACATGATAAAGATTTTTACTTTACATTTTTTACTATTTCATAACTTAACTTCATATCTTTCTTCCTTTACACACCACGTCAGTCTCCTATATTATTCTGGCGCTTTCCTTATATGCTTATGCCCATCTTGATCTCATATTTCTTTCGTCTTCCGTCATTCTTTTTCTTATTTGTCAATCTGTCGTCTAACGTCAGGTTAACGTTATATCTTTCCTACATGTGTACAGCTTTCTGCCCGTGCGGTTAAAGAATGGGATTGAAAATGGCGTAGCCTTTATTCACCTCTCGGACCCCCACCTGTAAGGACTGCAAAAAAAATACGTTGATATATGCGTTTTTTGTACTTTCTATAACTTTAGTCCATCTTGTCATTGGAATCAATTATAACAAAATGCCATAAACTACAAAAATAAATTCAGTCCGCTTTTGCTTATTTGTAAGCTACGACTTATGAGACTTTTCTTCTTAATTATTGTTGATTTTGCTTGTTATTATTTTTGCATCAAACACTTACATGCTATTGCGAAATGAGTAACTATTTTAAAATTGTCGTTTGTTTGTATCTCCGAGCTAATATTCGGAATGGCTGAACTGGTTGTAATAAAAACTTCACGAACAAATAGAGAGTAATACCAGGAGTGATCTAGACTAAATTTTATTTTAAAAACTTAAATACTTTATTAAAATAGAAATGAAAAAATAAATGGTCTACAATGATTATCCTTAAGTCTAAATAATGTCACCTTAATAGATCCCACTCAGGTGAAGCCAGAGCGGGTCACTAATTATAAATGTTATTTTAAATTTAATGTATACTTGCTCATACAATTCTTTTCAAATACTTTCCCATTAATAGACAAGTTCCAATTAACCGAATAATATAACGTTATAACGATAAACCGTTATTAGCGGATTTCCGTTTGGTGCTGTGCATGTTGACGGTACAGGTCCGATGAGTCGCCATTTCTAATCCCATTCTTTATCTGTATGCATTATACATTCATGGAGAGTCTCTTGTTTCAGGTACGAGATGCTATCGACTTTGTCCTGATGAACTTTGCCGAAATGAACAAGCTTTGGGTGCGAATGCAGCATCAGGGACACTCCAGGTTTGATCACATTATTATGGTTATCATCAGCCGACTTTACTACTGAATGTTACTATATTTGTCAATATTTGTACTAAGCCTCAGTTTTTTTTTTTTTTTTTTTTGGATAAATCGAGAAATTTAATAAATACTCTCTGATAATTTTCTTAAATTTAAATAACGCTACATTAATAGATCCACTAGTAGTATAGAAAAAAATATAAAATTTAATGTTTTCCTTCTCCAGGGATAAAGAACGACGGGAACGGGAGCGCTCTGAGCTTCGAATACTAGTCGGAACCAATCTAGTGCGCTTGTCCCAGTTGGAGTCAGTCACAGTGGAAGACTATGGGCGTCTAGTACTGCCTGGTATATTGGAACAGGTCGTTAGTTGTCGGGATGCGATCGCTCAGGAGTACCTCATGGAGTGTATTATACAGGTAGTATATTGTCTCCGATTACTTATTTCACAATTTACCATGTAAATACATTTTTTCACTGTTCTTTGATTCTGCCTACCCACTAAGAAATTAAAGAGCCGTGGTAGCTCAGAAGAGCCGTGGTAGCTCAGATGGTTAACGCTCGCTGTAAATATAACAGAATGCGAGTAACCCGGGTTCGATCCCCGCCGGCACCAATGAAATTGTTAATTGCAATTTTAAGTGCTGATTTACCACGTGCTCGGCGGTGAAGGAAAACATCGTGAGGAAACCTGCATGTCTGAGGAATAAGAAAAAAAAATATTTCGAAGACATGTGAAGTTCGTCAACACGCATTTGGGCAGCGCGGCGGACACTTTCTTGCCCTAAACCCTCTCAGAAATGAGGGGAGGCCTGAGCCCAGCAGTGGGACGTATATAGGCTGTAACTTTAGTAAGAAATTACAAGTGTAATGGTATGTATATGTAATATAGCTGCAACATGTATCTCCATCCATTACAGTCTATCAAAATTCCACCGCTGAACATATGGGCCGTCCTCATAAATTACTTCATAAGTAGGTTGGTAACTGCATTAATTAAAGTTGTTATCGACATAATGTCCATCTGTTTTAATTTACCTCCGTCGCCTCTACACCCACGGGACGATATGGGGTAGTGGATATTCTTTCATTATAATATATAACCACTACTACATGTATGAAACCTAGAATTCAAACAAAATGCAGTACCTTCTATTAAACAATTATTTTACTGAGATGTTTGCTAAGCTGATTTTTAATCGTCAGGTTAAAGTTATCCATCAAATAAATTATAACCTAACTGAATATAAAAGTTAAACAATTGATTAATTGGGATTAATTCCCGTCACCAAACTTTATGAACGCACATCGCGGAAAAACTCCCGATACCATCTACACCATCTGGATGCTTGACGGTCCACCACTGTACGTTTCACTAGGAGTTTTGTTCCGCGTACGACTTCTTTGTAGAATAGTTTACCACCAGCGATTTTTCCAGACCTATACAACTTAGGGGCCTTCAAGAAAAGAGCTTACTCCTTTCTAAAAGGCTGGCAACGTATCTGCAATTCACCTGGTATTGCAGTTGATCATGGGCGGCGGTAGTCACTTAACATCAGGTGAGCCGTATGGTCATTTGCCCCATCTCCTATTAAAAAAAAGTTGAACAATTGTATTCACACAATCGAACTATTTAATTTTGGCTGCTGTGATCGAAATTAGGTTTTATGGACAATATATAATTACATTTACTAATCATTTTATATACGGTTGCAGGTGTTCCCTGATGAATTCCATCTGGCAAATCTCCAACCGTTCCTCAAGTCGTGCGCCGAGCTACAACCCGGAGTCAACATTAAAAATATCATTATCGCCCTTATCGAGCGTCTTGCTAGTTACAGTCAGGTATTACCATTATGAAATTAATAATTTAAAGTTGTATTGGTTGGGATATTCCGTCAAAGTTTTCAGTAAACCACCAAATAATAGGTTAAGAGACGACTAATTGACTAGTGGATCTCATGGTTGAACTTACTAAACCTACCTAGTGTACAAACATGGACATTGTCCAAGCTACTCTTGCCAGCTGGCACAGTCTTGGCCAAAACTATGTTTGTTAGTAGACTTAGAAGCTGTTAATGATGATGGTGAGAAAATTGTGACAAAATTACCATATACTTCATATTTTTCTGGTCAAACTGTTAATTTTATTAAGGCCTAGCTACATGCTAGACTAGCGATCTATTAATGTGGCGAAATTTATATTTTTAAAGTAATCATCATTATAATTTATTTTGACAGACATACTTTCACAAAATATCTCCAAATTTTTTGAATAAAATATAGTTAAGATTACTTCTGGCAATGCTCTCTGTATGTTTGTAAAGTTTCATGGTTCAGTCATTACAAAGATGAGCTCAGACAAAAAAAAAACAGTTATTTAGATAGTATAAACAGAAATTTAAATTTTAAGATGCTTTTATTACTTGAAAATTTGAAATAATTTAATTAATTTAATAACTTTATTCTAGTAACCTGATCAGAATCATCACAGCTCATGATCAGTGCACGTTGTTTAAGTTTCAACCTCCCAACTAGCTTTGGCACCTATGGTGCCAAAGCCTAGTTGAGTAGGTTGAAATTTTGTCTTAAGGTTTGAGATTATGTGATGTGCCTGCAAAGCTAATTTTGAAGTTAAGCGTCGAAATTTTTTTGAAGGCACGCAATTTTGCCCCATATAAGTAGGGAATGAAATTGGGATTGACATTACCAGAAAGCATAAAATTACATAATTTTGTAATGTGCCATCGTTATTTCGTATCACCACTTCAGGCAAACGAACTTGTAAATATATTATCACATATTCATTAATATTGAAATACATTATTTACACAAAACATTATTTTTCGGAATCTCAGAAATAAAATATAAATATGATATTTTAATTAAAATATTTGGTTAAAGTATAAGACAGTTGTCACCTGTCAATTTTATATGTATTATATATATATATATATATATATATATATATATATATATATATATATATATATATATATATATATATAGTGGCTCCAACGATTTTCTTGAAATTTAGTATTGTCGTTTTATCCATGTTTTTAGTCAATGAAAAACTGCTACAATATCATTAGAATACGAAAGTAAATTTTGCCATTTAATTAACGGTTATAACAGCTCAAATGGGAACTCGGGCAGTCCTGAAATCATAGGCCGCCGGTTCGGATCCAAATGTCTCTGGTCCGAATCCTTTTTCCTTTTTTTTTATGAGAAAGTATATTATTTGGAGCTCTTTTTAGTATATTTTTTTAAAACACGAAAAATAATGACCGAGAAGATCGAAAAATTTTATTCATATTTCATCAGTATGTAATTTGTACCTAAATATAATTTACAAAAAACACGATTTCCAAACAATATATCGAACAAAGCTCGGTCATCCAGGTTCTGTTTCAATAATACATACTGTAATGATGTCATTAAATTTTCAGAGGAACGAGGGCAATGTTAATCTCAGTGTGGTATTAGAAGACGGCAAGGAGCAAGAGGTGCAGTTGTTTGAAGTGTTCTCTGACCAAGTGGCTGCCATTACACAGGTAGATATTTTTAAGTTTAAGATTATCCACTATTGTATAGCAAGCCAGTGTAGTTACAGGTTGTGAGGCATTTCATCTTAGCCTTCGGAGGTCACCACGCATGTGTAGCCTTCTTTATTTTAAAGTAGATTTGGCAGACTAAGTTTGTTTGCCACTTTAATTTTGTAAAAAAAAAAGGACAGTGCACTCCTTTGCTACCATTATTCTATACAAAAACACTAAAATTTTCTCCTGTATCATGGTAGTTTCTTACATACAGTACATTAAACTTCAAACTGAAACAATTATTTGTAGATCGTGTAATTACTTGTCTTATGATGGAATCGACCTCACAAAAAATTTATGACTGTTATGTTTGTTAGTTCAGTAAAAAAGTAAGTTTATATGTCCGTATAATTAATAGATGATAACCCCTGGGAAGGGTGATCGCTACCAAGCTATTTTTTATTTGTTAATTGTAACATACATGATTGTAAGCTCTTATTTAAAAATAGTCCCGCTGGGTTACTTGCTGGTTCTTCCCAGGACAGAAGTTTTTTTTTTGCGAACCAGTGGTAAATGAAAAAAAGGTGACTCAAGCATTATTTATAATCCATGTGGAATAAAAAAGGTTTCTATTTCTGTCCCACCGCTGAACACTCGCCACCTCTCATCTTGTAGAGAATTTCAAGGCTAGGAAGTATCCGCTACGCTTTACCAGTGGCGAAGTTAACATGTTTTCAATTCTCTTATTTCTCAGACATGTAGATTTTCTCAAGAATTTTTTTTACTGTCGACCATTTATGGTAAAAAAGTAAAGTAACAGCCTAAATACGTCCCACTGCTGGGCACACGCCTCCCCTCATTTCTGAGAGGGTTTTAGGGCAAGGAAATGTTCACCGCGCTAACTTCTATAGCGCCAATACGTGTTGTCGAACTTCACATGTCTTTTTTTTTCTTTTCCTCAGATATGCAGGTTTCCTCACGATGTTTTCCATCACCGCCGAGCACGTAGTAAATGAGCACTTAAAATTGCAATTACAATTTAATTGGTGTCGGCCGGGATCGAACCCGGGTTACTCGCGTTCTGTTATATTTACAACGAGCGTTAACCATCTGAGCTATAAATGGTACTTCAGCATATACATATGCATAGTAATTAAAACTAACAATTTCCTTGGTGCCGGCGGGGATCAAAACCGGGTTGTTCATATACTAAACTACAACAAATTATAGTTAGTAAAATTAGTTTCCTTAATAGAATGGGAGTGACAAAAGGAGCACACGGTGCTCCCGGTGCTAAGTGGATGCTACATGTACATCTATCCTCCATTAAGAAGCAAAGCTTGGCGTGCTCAACAGAGCGGGACAGTATTACATGCCGGCACACTGCCTGCAACTTTACAAGGCGCAAGTTCGGCCGCACATGTAATACTGTCTCATCTCTGGGCTGGGGCTCCCCAGTGCCAGCTCCTTCCACTTGACCGCATCCAGCGCAAAGCGGCTCGAATCGTCGATGATCAGGCCCTTTCCGATCGGCTCGATTCACAGGCGCTGCGAAGAGATGTTGCATCTCTATGCGTATTTTATCGCATATACCACGTGGAGTGCTCTGAGGAATTTTTCGGATTAATCCCAGCCGCCAAATTTCGTGAACGCACTACGCGCCAAACCTCCCGATACCGTCCACACCATCTGGATGCTTGGCGGTCCACTACTGTACGTTTCTCAAGGAGTTTTATTCCGTGTACGACCTCTCTGTGGAATAGTTTACAAGCGGCGATTTTTCCGGACCGATACGACCTAGGGACCTTCAAGAAAAGAGCTTACTCCTTACTAAAGGGCCGGCAACGCACCTGCAATTCCTCTGGTGTTGCGGTTGAACATGGGCGGCGGTAGTCACTTAACATCAGGTGAACCGCATGCTCGTTTGCCCCCTCTTCTATAAAAAAAATAATCAAAATGCAGATGCGTTGTCCCCTTGAGGACTAAGATCGAAAGCTTTCCAGTGAAAAAATGTACCGAAAAGTTCATTAATCAAAAAAAATCAAAGTAAAATGAGAAAAAATTTCAGAGTCGATCCGACATGGCACCCGAAGACATGCTGAGTCTGCAGTTGGCACTGTTGAAACTGGCTCAACGCTGCCATCCGGACAAGCTCAACTATGTCGACCGTGTTCTGGCACATACGGACAAGATTTGCGCCGATATTCATCATAACAGGTATTGTTAAGATTATTTACTTTTAGAAACACACACACACACACACACACACACCCACACACACACCCACACACACACACACACACACACACACCCACCCACACACACCCACCCACACACACCCACACACACACACCCACACACACACACACACACCACACACACACACACACACACACACACACACACACACACACACACACACACACACACACACACACACACACACACACACACACACACACACACGCAAACCACACATACACGCACACGCACACGCACACACATACACACGCCACACACACACACACACACACACACACACACGCACACACACACACACACACACGCACACACACCCACACGCACATACCACACACACACACACACACACACACACACACACACACACACACACACACACACACACACACACACACACACACACATTTACCATACAAACCCATGCATATCAAATTATATATTCACACCCACAGACCAACAAAGAAATATAATTCGAGTGCTGTTTATTTCAAGTGATGCTGAAACCATGCTCAATTTCTTAAAATGCACACATCTCTCTCCTTTATTTTATTTATCAGCTCGTTAAAGTTTATTGCTGGATGTACACATATTCGTCTAAAACTATGTTGCTGGATGCCAATTATTTTAGATGCATATGTTATTATTTTAGATGTACATGAGTGTGTGTTCAGCGCTCCAGCTTTATTTCTTTGTTGGTCTCAGTTCAAAACAAACAAAAAAACCATACGGACCTGCGTAATAAGTTATATGTACATACACACGGACTAATACGTATAGCACACCTTATGCTGTCTTCAATAAAGCTTCTCAATTAAATAATTTATCGACAATCTGTCTCTTCATCTACTAATTAGAGCACACCGCTAGCACATTCTTCAGGTTGACACTCAAATTATGCATGTAAAAGTAAAGTTACAGCCTATATACGTCGCACTGCTGGGCACTGAGAAGGTTTCAGGGCAGGAAAATGTCCGCCGCGCTGCCCCAATGCGTGTTGGCGAAACTTTTATTTTATAGGATAAGCTCACATGTCTTCGAAATAATTTTTTTCTTATTTCTCAGACATGCAGGTTTCTTCACGATGTTTTCCTACACCATCTAACACGTGGTAAATTAGTACCTCAAATGTAACTAACAATTTCATTGGTGCTGGTGGGGATTGAACCCGGCTTGTTTGCGTACTGTGAATTTTATGCCGGCTGTACACGCTCGTCGAGACACCACGAGACAGGCCTAGAGGCGAGCGTTATTTAACATTGTTCTTAAAAACTTCGCGTTTTTCTTTATAAATATTATAACATGTATAGTTTTCTTTGTGAATAAACATTTAGTGTATATAAATATTTAGTGTACATAAACAGACATATAATTGGTGTAAATAAATAATAAATATTTTTTGTATTAAGTTAATTTTTGTGTATTATGTGGATCATAATAATTATGTGATGTGATGGACAATAATACTTAAATACTTACATATTTTGTGACTATATAAAATTGTACAAAGGTACTAATATTGACAATGTCGCGCACATGTTATAATACCTATAACCTGTTACGTATTCGTAATCATAACATAACACAGTTAAACTAATATTATAATACCTACCTATAATATGTTAATATTTTCGTAATTATAACATAACACAAACGCAAAACTAACCTACGCTATACTGTATACATATGTAACTAATTACAAAAATAAGCAGTTTTGAAACTAGTTACTCATATCCACGAAACTACGTACAACCGATTACGTCCAAGACGTTACGACCCATGTCTAGACAGGGCGAGTACGAGTGTGTACAGGGTACTCTCGTCGCGTCTCGTCGCGTCTCGTGTCCCTCGTGCGCTCTCGGAAGCGTGTCGGTTTTTTGCGCTCGAGTCAAAGGGTCTCGTAGGTATCGCGATGAAAACCGAGAGCGAATGATGATATTACTTAACGTGTATAACATGTATAATCAAGCAGAAAAATGCAAACTGTATTACGACATTTTAATATGTAAAAAGTCAAAGGTCGACATTATAACTACACATCAAAGTCTCTACGAAAACGTACTTATATATAATCGTTAGGTTTTAATTGCTGCTAAAGAATATTCTGTATTTTGTGTACACTTAGTTAAAGAGGTAAAATATTTTGTATTTGTAATTTCTGTTTTGTCTCAAGACGACATACGTGATTTTATTGTTAATAACTTTTTTTTGATGATAATGTATAAAGAAGTGTAATACACTGTAAGAAAGTTTATTAAATACAGTGTTTAATGATATTATTGATTTTTTTTAATTTCATTTAAAATATATATGTACTTAAATTTATGAAGAAACATGTGTTTTTTCCGGGACTACTTGAACCTCTCTTTTTCTTTACGTAATTACAGTCATCTTTCAATATATCCTGCTAAGTTTTACAAATCTCATAAAATATTTCATACTCTTAATACCAATATCAATATTTAAGTCTTAAGTGTCAGGTTTATTGAATAATTATTTACTTTTTTTTTATATATATATATATATATAATTTTTTTTAAATATTGTATAACAGGTAGTCGCTAACACTTTCGATATCGATAGTACGCAAGACGACACAAGTATGTGCGCGGGTGACTGACGCAGGGAGACACTACTTGGAGCTAGCGCGTCGCCCGTTGCTATGGTTTCGCTTCCCCGTATGTCATACCGCACCGCACTGTTCATCTTTCGTGGCGCAAGCCGCAAGCTATACACTATTCTATTCACCGTACATGGTACTGTTACGGTAAAGTAATAGAAACTATCCACCATCTCCTTCTTAGCAATGGGTTATTAATTTTATTTTTAGTAAATGTGTAAAAAATATAATAGTTCAAAGGCAAAACGCAGCAAGCGGGCATATGGAGTTCAAACTTCAAATGATACAACGAGTGTCTACATGGTGTGTTCTCCGTCGAGCCTTTACGTGATGAGAGGCACACGAGGTGACGAGATGAGCGTGTTCAGCCGCCATGAGCTACATACATCTAGGGTTGCCAGGTCTTTAAACCGAGAAGCCGAACAGACCATCCAGCTTTGCCAGACATTTTGGTAAAAAGGCCGTACACCCTTAATTATTCAGTCTTAGTATAACACGATAATATATTTTTTAAAGTAAAACAATGCTAACCTTATATCATTTACTACAAAATTTTAAATTAAAAGAATCAGTGTTCTTTATTATTAATCATTCAATATTCATTACAATATTAGTTTCAATAATTGCAATAGGTAGTATGTATTTAAGTACATGAAAAATGTAAAAAAATGGTCAAATATAAAAAGCCTGACAAATGCCGGACAGGCCTGGACACCGTCTAATTTGGCCAGACATGCAAACAAAAAGCCTGACTGTGTCCGCCTTTATCCGGACGCCTGGTAACGCTACATACATCTGTATACAATACAGTATAGCGTAGGTTAGTTCTGTGTTTGTGTTAGGTTATGATTACAAAAATATTAACAGGTTATAGGTATTATAACATTAGTTTAACTGTGTTATGTTATGATTATGATTACGAATATATAACATTTTATAGGTGTTATAATTATAATATGCGCGTGACATCGTCAATATTAGTACTTTTGTACAATTTTATGGTCACAAAATATGTAAATGCCTAAGTATTATTGTCCATCACATCACATAATTTTTATGATCCACATCTTGCGTGTAAGCCATTAACTATCCCGAAGGGACTCTTTACTCTCGTTGTGCGAGTCGTATATCGTGTTACGTACCTACCTATATTCATCTTAATAATAATCTGTTCAAAACAAAACGCTTACGCGAGCGCCGGTCGTGGTGTGTGTCAACTGCGTACGTAAAATAATCATTACATTTTGTCCACGAAACTGGGTATACGATTATCAAGCTCGTAAGCAGTTTCTGAAACCGATTATGTTAAATAATGCTCACCTCTAGGCATGTCTCGTGGTGTCTCGACGAGCGTGTACAGCCGGCATTACAGCGAGCGCTAACCATCTGACCTACCACAGCTTTAACGTATCACGTACGCACGTACCTTAATTGCAATCGCAGTTGATTCTCTTATAGCTTATATTTTAGATCCCGCATTTTGAGGCGATTATTACGGTATTAAAAAAATGTTTTACGTTTTAAAAGCTAAATAACAAGTTGTTAAGGCATTGGGTCATTACTCATTACATAAGTGAAGTTCAAAATAGTTTATAAATATAAAATATTTATTTACAGTATATGTTAATAATAATATATTTATTATTATTAACATATACTAATAATATTTATAATTTTATTACGTGGTAGAGCCATGCTGCAGTCATATTAGTACTTTAGTTGTAGTAGCACTCAACAGTGGAGGGACCACGCTCTCACTGAATACCTGCGTAAAATAGCAGTTTAACGCTGCTGTGTTTCAGTATGATGAGTGTAGAGATCCTTTTCAATGGAAAAGAGACATTACATCTTAGTCCTCACGGGTGACAACGCATCTGCATTTTGATTCGTAATCGGGATTAGAGATGTCTATGGGCCACAGCACTCACTTACCATCAGGTAGACTGTGTGCTCGTTTGTCACTCTTATCTTATATAAAAAACAAAAAAATTGCGCTGATCGTCGCTTATGGTGGTCGCTCCATCTAGTTGGAGCTTATAATTATTATAAATTATTAGGGCAGCTTATTTATTCAATATACTTATTTAATAGAGGCCTGTGGGCTTTTAGTTCCGCAAAAAACTCACTGGCACTGCGAAGAGATGTTGCATTTCTTTGCGTATTTTATCGCATCTACCACGAGGAGTGCTCTGAGGAATTGTTCGGACTAATTCCAACCGCACAATTTCACCATCACACATCGCGACAAAACTCGCGATACCATTAATACCATCTGGATGACTGGCGGTCCACCACTGTGCGTTTTAAAAGAAGTTTTCTTCCTCGCACAACTTCCTTGTGGAATAGACTCCCATCAGAGATTATTCCGGACCGATACGACTTCCTACCCACTACTACCAGAGAGACCTTCAAGAAAAGAGCCTATTCCTTTGTAAAAGGCTGACAACACATCTGCAGTTCCCCTGGTGTTGCAGTTGTTCATGGACGGTGGTAATCACTTACCATCAGTTGAGCCGTATTATCGTTTGCCCACTCTCCTATAAAAAAAGAAGCTATATTCATTGCTAGACTATTTTAGTAACTCCCTTAGTCTATTAACATCTATAATTGATAATTTTTCTTCCAGTGGTAAACCCCACTTAGAACACAACACCCCGGTCTTTAAGGAACTGATGAAGATTCTGAAGCTGCCTGCCGATCACTACAAGAACATATTAACGCTTATCCGTCTCCAGAACTACGCCCCGTTGATCTCCCACTTGAACCACCAAGGCAGAGTTATGATAGCTGTGCATCTGGTCAACGATGTCTTGGAGACTGATACGATGATTTCTAACCCTGAGGATGTGAGTAAAGGAAACATTAAAAATATTAATTAAGGAGTGTACTAAAAACACTGCATGCTATTTTGACCCTTATGGCCGAATACGAAGCGATTGACCTTGCTCGTTTCGCGGCAAACCGCGCGCTGTCTATCGAATATCACGTGCGTTAGTCGTACGAGTGCGCTAGCTCGGTATGCAGAGTAATGAATAACAAGGAGAGCATTGGTAGTTCCTAGATTAAAAATTCTGGACTTTTTTCGTTACAAACATACAAAAATAATAATCTTTCCTCTTTGTATTTATTTATTTTATTTATTTATTATTTATTTGGAAAACTACAGCTAATTTACAAAAATAATATAACAAAAATGAAGGCCAATTACAAGTTTTCACTTATATACTACTTTATAATAAACAAGATTGTGTCAAAACAGATATGTACAACTATATGGCAAGTAACAGTACACTATCGAGAAGAAAAGAAATTGTTAGAAAGTAATCGCCTAAGTTGGGGAATGCTGGAATGAAATAAGTCAATATCCACGTTGTGAATATGTGCTGTAGCATTAAAAGATTTGCATGATCGAATAATAAAAGAGTTTTGTCTATAATTACTTTTCACGTATGGTACCGATAAAAGTGTAGGTTTCCGCAAGTTAGATGATGAGGTACGTAAACCTATTTTACCCAGTAGTTCAGGGCAATCAACAACACCATTAACAATTTTAGAGAGGAAAGAGAGATCTGCAATATTTCTTCGCTCATATAAAGGTAAGCTATGAAATTTTTTACATCGAAGAGTATAGTTGGGTATAAACTTTTTTGATTTAAATTGAAGAAAACGCAAAAATCTTTTTTGTATGCGCTCTATCCTATCAACGTATACATTATATTTAGGATTCCAAATTTCAGAGGCATATTCCAAGTGGCTGCGTACAAAAGCGCAATAAAGAATTTTGAAAGTTTTTATACTTTTAAAATCTGCCGATAATCACATAATATTAGTATAGATTATTAGTTCTGTAAAGGAAAATTATTCTGTAATGAAAAGTTAGTGAATTGACATCGATTTTTTGTACTGAGTTGGAATGTGTATGTAAAAAATTCACGTAGCTGAAAGTGTTTGTTCTTGTGAGTCTTACTAGATGCCGTAATGCAAATTGCATAAATAATACAGAAAAAAACTAAAAGGTCCCTGTTTGTCCCATAGTGAAGTTAGGTACTGTGTGTGTAAATTCTCGAGGGACTACTCCGACCGGTCAATCATCACTTCACACCCGTAGTATGTCAGTTTTTCTTAATTATGTACTTACCCCATACTTCCGGATAATACATTGACTATGACATTATTTGCGGTCTCTGTGCTTGCACTACTCTGTACGTTGGAGAAGAAGAGAGTTTATCACTTTCCAAGAAACGTATAAATGATCAGTTTGGCTAATGTAAATTAGAAAAAATTTAGCCTATTAGGCAGCCTCTAACAAAAAAGTTCCTACCTTACAAAAAATATAACCTCAAAATAGAACTTACCATATTCGAACACCATTCTAGCGATAAACTCTCTTTGGTTTACATCTTCATCATCATCATCATCATCATTACAGCCCTTCACAAGTCCACTGCTGAACATAGGCCTCCCCCAAGTAATGCCACAAAGCACGGTCCTGAGCCACCTGCATCCATCGACTTCCTGCATGTCTTACCAGGCCGTCACTCCATCTAGTGGGGGTTCGCCCTACACTACGCCTACCGGTAAGAGGCTGCCACTCGAGAACCTTTCTTCCCCATCGCTTATCGGTTCTTCGAGCTATATGGCCGGCCCATTGCCACTTCAGCTTACTAATCCGTTGGGCTATGTCGGTCACTCTGGTTTTACTGCGGATATCCTCGTTTCTGAGTCTATCACGCAGAGAAACTCCGAGCATAGCCCTCTCCATAGGTCGCTGAGCGACCTTGAGCATCCTCACACGCACTGGTTATACACTTTAGTTTTCAGAGATTGAGGTATACCTGACGAGAAGATGTGTCGTAATTTCCCGAACGCTGCCCAGCCGAGTTGAATCCGTCGATTGACCTTTCGGTCGAAGTTGGACTTACCTAGTCGGACTATTTGTCCCAGGTAAACGTACTCGTCAACAACTTCGAGCATAGTGCTCCCAACAACTACCGGCATAGGTGTGACATGGACATTAAACATGATCTTTGTTTTGTCCATGTTCATCTTAAGACCTATCCGTTGGGAGGCACTATTGAGGTCATTGAGCATAGTGCTTAAGTCCTCCAGCGATTCTGCCATAAGGACTATATCGTCGGCAAATCGAAGGTGAGTGATGTACTCGCCATTGATGTTAATACCGTATCCTTTCCAGTCCAGTAGCTTGAAAACGTCTTCCAAAGCAGCGGTGAAGAGTTTCGGGGATATAACGTCACCCTGTCTTACACCTCTCTGCAGTTGGATAGGTTTCGAGCTCTGGTTCTGTACTCGGATAGCCATCGTAGCCCTACTGTACAAACACTTCAGCACTTCGATATACCGACAGTCAACTTGGCAACGCTGAAGGGACTGCAGCACCGCCCAAATTTCGACGGAATCAAAGGCTTTCTCATAGTCCACATACGCCAGGCAAAGTGGCAAATTGTACTTTTCAGTCTTCTGTACAATTTGCCGCAGGGTATGTATGTGGTCTATGGTACTGAAGCCTTTTCGGAAACCGGCTTGTTCGGGAGGCTGGAAGTCGTCGAGTCTGCGTGCGAGACGATTCGTAATGACTCTCGAAAACAGCACGTAGACGCGGCTCAGAAGGGAAATCGGTCTGTAGTTCTTCAAGAGAGCGTTGTCGCCTTTCTTAAAGAACAAGACCACCCCGCTTCTGCTCCACGCCACCGGAGTAGTGTCACCATGAAGGACGGAATTAAAGAGCTTCTGAAGGACTTCAAGTACCGGTGTTCCACCCGCTTCCAGAAGCTCCGCTGTAATTCCATCCTCGCCCGGGGCCTTGCTGTTTTTAAGGTGGTGGAGAGCCATTCTAATCTCGCTCAGACTGACGTCCGGGATATCATCGGAATATTGTCGGATAAGACTTGCTCTTGGATCGTTACTCACACTTGCGTGTGGCTCCAACGATGATGTGTACAGCTGCCCATAGAACCTCTCAATCTCACTCAGAAACTTAGGTGTCCCGGAAACGATGTTGCCACACTCAGTCTTCAGCTTTGACAGTTGGCTCTTTCTGGCAGACAGATCTCTGGCAAAGACTTTGTAGCCCTGTTTCCGCTCGATCGCTTCTTTAATACTAGCAGTATTAAAGTTGCGTAAGTCTCGCCTTTTTTTGCATGACATTTGGAGCATGCATTTGGAGATCTGTCTGTTCAGTTGCCTGTATGCTGTCAAATCTGTTGACGATTGCAGCCTCATCTCCCGTCTAACAGCCATGAGATTAAGAGCGTGATCGGTGAGTTTTTGTGTTCTTCTGCGGCGGGTCTTGCAGAACTTAGCTCCGACCGCATGGACAGTTTCCACGAGCTTGTCATTCATATCGTCCACTGCATTGCAATCCTCTAGGCACTGAAAGCGGGTTTGTAACTCGAGCTGGCTTTGTAAAGGTTTCGGGATTCTGGATTAGAGCACGAGGGGGGACGGAGCGTTGACTTCATTAGACGAGACCTCTCCAACTTAACGTTTAGGTTCAGTGTGCCACTAACCATTCGGTGATCGCTGCCAGTTTTCATCCTTGCGATCACTGAACAGTTGGCGTCTGGTCGTCATAATGAAGTCAATCTCATTTATTGTCAAACCGTCGGGGCTCGACCAGGTCCACTTCCTGTGGGGCCGCTTCTGGAAGAAAGAGTTCATCATAAAGAGTCCCTTTTTCTCCATAAAGTCGGCCAGCTGCTGGCCCCTTCGGTTCCGTTGCCCTACTCCAAATTTCCCTACCTTCAGCTCACTGCTTTCTCTTGTGCCTAGTTTTGCGTTGAAGTCTCCCATCAACACAGTGTAGTGGGTTTTGGAGGAATGCATGGCTCTGGAAATATCCTCCTCATCGGAATGTGCCGAGGTTGGTGCGTAAACCTGTATGACCTTCAGCGAATACCGTTTGGTGATTTTGAGTATCAGGTACGCGACCCTCGTCGACACACTCCCAATCTTTACAACGTTGTTGACGAGAGACTTGTGGACGATAAATCCGACACCTCCTTGGGACAGATGGTCGCCCTCCCGGTGGTAGAACAAGTTGCCGGACTCAAGGATTGACGTGTCCTCCCCCTCTCTTCGGACCTCGGATAATCCAATAATATGCCAGCGCAACTTGTCTACCTCTTCTTCCAGTTCCAGTATCTTCTCGTCAGTCCTCAGGGTGCGTGCGTTATAAGTCGCCAGGTCGAGTCGTCTTGGGTGGTAACCGAACCTCCACCGGAGATTCTTAGCACCCCCTGCCCCGCCGTGACCATGATCGCCCCCGGAGCCAGGAATAGCGGGGCCGCCGGGGACTGGGGGCCGTTTTTTTTCGTCGTTATTCATGGGGGGATATTTGCCATAGTTGCCACGCTTGGCGAGCGGGTTGGCAACCGCAGTTTTTTATTATAACACAGTTGTTATCAGGAAGATGCTGCTGCCCATCTCCTGCCTGTCTCCCTCTGTCGCCTCTTACGACACCCACGGGAAGATATGGGGTAGTGAATATTCTCAACCGCCACTACATGGCATTTACATGGTTTACAACTTAGATAATATTTATTTCTTACCCATATTCACATTTATAGTCGCTTAAACGCGTGTAAACCGCTAAATTTATGATTTTCAATACAGACATTACTATTGTCACCTTACGCCACACATCGAAGCGCCTGGTAGTTTATGACGGCAAACTTTTATCTGGCAATGTACAATATCATTACTAGGCGTTAGTAATTAAAACGAATTACGTTAATAATTTTTTTTTTGTATCGTAAAAGGCCGAAAACGATGACAGCAGGCGTCTTCGGAATCACAATACAAATATTTTTACGTAAAAATAATTTTTCCTAAATTTATATACTCGTACACAGAGTTTTGGAAGGGAATTTTTTTTTTTTATAGAAGAGGGGGCAAACGAGCATGTGGCTCACCCGATGTTAAGTGACTACCGCCGCCCATGATCAACCGCAACACTTCCATTTTGGGGAATTGCAGGTGCGTTGCCGGCCCTTTAGAAAGGAGTAAGCTCTTTTCTTGGAGGTCCCCAGGTCGTATCGGTCCGGAAAAATCACCGGTGGTAAATTATTCCACAGAGAGGTTGTACGCGGAAGAAAACTCATTTTGAAACGTACAGTGGTGGACCGCCAAGCATCCAGATGGTGTGGATGGTATCGGGATGTTTGCCGTGTAGTGCGTTCACGAAATTTGGCGGCTGGGATTAATCCGAACAATTCCTCAGAGCACTCCCCGTGATTAATGCGATAAAATACGCAAAGAGATGCAACATCTCTTCGCAGCGCCAGTGAATCGAGCCGATCGGAAAGCACTCGGTCGTCGACGATTCGAGCCGCTCTGCGCTGGATGCGGTCAAGTGGAAGGAGCTGGTACTGGGGAGCCCCAGCCCAGAGATGGGAACAGTATTCCATGAGCGGCCGAACCTGCGCCTTGTAAAGTTGCAGGCGGTGTGCCGGCATGAAATACTGTCCCGCTCTGCTGAGCACGCCAAGCTTTTTAGAGGCCAATTTGGCCTTCCCTTCCAAGTGACCACGAAACTGCATGTCACTCGATATGTCGACGCCGAGGATTCCGATACTGGCTGAGGCAACAAGGGGAGTGCCTTGAAACTGAGGGGATACGACAAAGGGGTTCTTTTTAGCGGTTAACGCGCAAACTTGTGTCTTCTGGGGGTTAAACTGGACTAGATTTAGTCGCCCCCAATCCGAGACTCTGTCCAGCAGAGACTCGACTTCAGACACAAGTTTGTCCCGGCACTCAGAGACGTTTTCCCGAGAAATATTGGCTCGGCCGGTGTAAAGAGCATCACCAGTGCTGTCATCTGCATAGCAATGAATGCTACGGGTTTGCAACATATCATTGATATGCAGAAGAAACAGCGTTGGCGATAGCACGCAGCCCTGTGGAACACCAGCATTAATAAGCTTGCAATCGGAGCTTGCACCGTCTACAACGACCTTGATGCTCCGATGTGCAAGAAAACTGGTGATCCAATCGCACAATTTCTCGGGAAGCCCATAGGAAGGGAGCTTCGAAAGAAGCGCTTTGTGCCAAACCCGATCGAAGGCCTTCGCAATGTCCAAACTAACGGCCAATGCCTCCCCCTTGGACTCTACTGCCTCCGCCCATCTGTGAGTTAGGTAGACCAGAAGATCACCAGCTGACCTACCACGGCGAAAACCGTATTGGCGGTCACTAATCAGCTGGTGATCCTCAAGGTACCTCATGAGCTGGCAGTTTACAATGGACTCCATTGTTTTGGAGAACAAGGAGGTGATGGCGATAGGCCGGTAGTTGGACGGGTCTGAGCGGTCGCCTTTTTTAGGGATCGGGTGGACGAAAGCCGTCTTCCATGATTTTGGGACTACGCCTAGGGAGTAGGAGTACCGGAAAAGACGCGTTAAAACCGGTGCCAACTCTGGAGCACACGTCCTCAGCACAATTGGGGGGATTCCATCAGGCCCACTCGACTTATAGATGTCCAGGGAGAGGAGTGCTTTGCGAACCGAGCGCTGAGTGAACTGCACTTCCGGCATGGAGCACTCACACCACGGGATGGTCGGCGGCGTACTCCCCCCGTCATCGAGAGTCGAGTTAGACGCAAAGAAAGAGCCTAGAAGATCGGCTTTCTCCTTTGCGGTGTGGGCCAGTGAGTCGTCCTCCCTGTGCAGAGATGGAAGAGATGGCTGACAGAAATTCCCCTGGACAGCCTTGGCGAGAGACCAGAATGCACGGGTTCCAGAAGGAAGACGAACTAGTCTCTCGCCAATTCTGCCTATGTGCTCTGACTTTGCCTTGGCAATGACTCTTTTGATAATTTTTAGATATCATTTCTTAATTTTTTTTTTAAATTGATGTATTGACTTATTTTAACTTACGACTTAGCGAACTTAGCGATCGCAGCGCCTCACTTATTGTGTGCATATTTCTGGGACACTATTTTCTACAGCGATCGTTCTCCTGTTCTCCAACCTCCATGTTGTGAAGTAACCGAACAAACCTACAAAAAATGTTTTAACGCTTAGAATTACTTCAGGTCAAAGTTCTAGTGAACAGAAATACATGAAGTTTCGATAGTTCTTTTCGTATTCGGCCTTAATGCAATCAGATAAGATAGAATTTAGGTTGAATTTTTTATAAAATAGAAGTTACAAGTAAACGTAACATTCCCCTGATGGTGAAAACACATCTGTAGCCTTCTTTGTTTAAAGTTGGTTACAGTTGTGCACGGCCTGCAATATCCACTTACCATCACGTGGACTGTAAGTTCGCAAGTCACTAGCGGTTCGGTCCGGTATTAGATGGAGGTCACTACACAGCGAGAACTTTATCATGTAATGATCGTGGTAGAGCCATGCTGCAGCTATATTACTGGTATAGTTGTAGCACAACTATACCAGTAATATAATGTAAATGTGGTGAGTGCAGAGAACTGGTGACCTTTTTTATAAGATACCTACCTTTGGGCAAACCACTTACCATGTGCTTATTTGTAATCTTAATGCTATAAAAAAATGTTGATGAATAATAATTTCTATAACGATAATGTGTAAGAAATAGATTGTCTAGTATTCAGGACATCAATTTTCAGGTGGAGTCTGTGCTGTCAATGCTCGATGTACTCGTCAAAGATCAACCTGAACAGCTCGCATCGGAGTCTGACGTTGAAGACTTTAACGAGGAACAGGGTTTATTGGCCAGGTACTGTTTATCCTAGTATTTTGTCTATTTTCAATTTATGAGGTGGTAGGAGTTCTTTTCCGGTCTAGTTCCATCTGGGTTATTACCACCCTCTTTCCTGTTTCTATCTTCAAATAATAGTGCGTGCACTGCTATGTTCCAGTCCGAAGGGTATAGAGAGTCAGTATAATTACACGCTGTGAGGAGTTCCATCTAGTCTTCATAGATGACAACGCATCATTAGCCTTCTTTGTATGAAATGTGCTGCAGGTGTCAGTGGACGACTGCAGTAGCCACTTACACTTACTTCTTAGTAGTTTTTTTTTTGTAGAATAAGGGTGATAAACGAGTACACAGTCCATGTGATGGTAAGTGGATGCCATGCCCATAGACATCTACATCTATCCTCGATACTGAATCAAAATGCAGATACATTGTAACCCCTGAGGATTAAGATGAAATGTCTTGTTTCAATTAAAAAGGGTCTCCGGGTCTCTACCTACACTCATCAAACGAAACACAGCAGGATTAACCTGCTATTTGACGCTGGTATTCTGTGAGAGCGTGGTCCTTCTCCGGTCGAGCTGGTCCATTCATAAAAATTACAGCCATATATACACGTCCCACTGCTGGGCACAAGCCTCTGCTCATTTCTGAGAGGGTTTGAATCTCTCATTTCTGAGGGCAAGGAATTGTCCGCCGCGCTGCCCCAATGCGTGTTGGCGAGCTTCACATGTCTTCGAAATAGTTTTTTTCTTATTTCTCAGACATGCCGGTTTCCTCACGATGTTTTCCTTCACCGCCGAGCCCGTGGTAAATCAGCACTTAAAATTGCAATTAACAATTTCATTGGTGCCCGCTGGGATCGAACCCGGTTTGCTCGCGTACTGTGAAATTTACAGCGAGCGCTAACCATCTGAGCTACCTCGGCTATCCATTCACGCTTCAACTATAATTGTTACGGCCCCCAGTTACCCCGACAAAAGTCGACCGGACTAGGGCCCATAGTAGTCCAACTCGACGAGTAACCGAGGGTCGAGCCACAATGGCCTTTGGATAATTAATTTATAACGGCTGTATAAGCAAACGCATACTTACCGAATTCCGGAGTGTAGGGTCGACCACAAGGCGTCGTCAGGGGCAAGTAGATGATATGTGTGAGTGGTGTGTGAGAAGTATGTAATGTGACTTGACGTCACCGATATAATCAGATAGCAGAACCGCATGTGCTGCCCAGCTCCTCTTGTGCAATCACTCCAGAGGGTGTTATCCCCTATCGGAACTCAGGTCCAACGTCCCTTAGCACAAATATAATCGGAGATAACGCTATCTCCTCCGGATCACAAAGTTAAGCGTCCCACGCGACAAAGCAAAATTCCTTCTTACAATATTAACTACACGAGCCTTTCGTCGACGCAAATTAATAGCAATCGAAGTTAAAATAGTCAATCAAAACGTAAAAAAGCCTTGTTGTCACGTATATTAACGACAAAATACAACACCATGGAGGCAGTCTATATGCGACGCAAGAATTATTATCAAAAAAAACTCGCGACCTCTAATCGACATGGTCGCTGCGTATTATCGAATGTTCTAGGCTAATCTCGCGACCGCTGCCGGCGCGGCCTCAGGGCTCAAAGATTCCTGCCGACTGCCCTCGCTGGCAGCGCCGTACGCGCATAGCGAGCGCCCCCCTCCCGCGCAACGCTAACCGGTTCCTCACCCGGGACGCGCGCCTTGCATGCTTCAAATGTCATAACTTGGCGTAAACAATAATATAGCTGCAGCGTGGCTCTACCACGTAAAAAAGTTTAAACTTCAGATTGTCCATGAATATCGATCTAAAGTTACATTTTTACTATTCTCATAGTTGCAAAAGAAAAAAATATAATCAATATTGGTAAGCACTTACATTAACAATTTCCTTGATTCCGCCGGTAACGAACCTGTGTTGCTAACTGAGCACTTAGCCTCTTTTAATTTATTTCTATTTTTACTTTTCAGACTTATCCACCACTTCATATCGGACTCGGCGGACCAACAATACTTAATACTGAGTGCGGCGAGGAAAGCCTTGCAAAGTGGTGGTGCTAGAAGGATACAGCACACCTTCCCTCCGATACTGTTTCACGCATACCAATTGGCTTTTATCTATAAGGACCTTAAGGATCAGGTAATTGTAATAGCATTTTTATTTTGAGCTTGGTCAGAGTAAGTAACAATACCGTATAATGTTATTAAGACTGAATTTGGTAACAGGACAATTTCAACGGTGGCTAGCCATCGGCTCAGGAAAAGATTATAGTGCACGAGTGTGTGTGCAAGCAAAGACACTCTCTATTCTCTCACTCTTACAGTCCGATGGAACGTTAATTCGACACGACCGGGTAAAGATCAGATGCAGGACCAACAGCTTTACGTGCAAGGCACAGGGATGAAACACCACCAAGTTGCTAAGTCTGGGCTGGTACTGAGAATTTCTTAAACGAAAAGACGTGTGGCACTCGGGGACTGCCGCGGTAAAGCATACATATTGCATAGCATTTTGTATCAACTTATGCAATTATAATTATTTATTTATTTTATTTATGCAGTATTTCTTTTTCTTTGATATTAATTCAAGTTACTTAGGTTAATCCAATCAAATTCAACCAGATTTAACCGAACCCGCGTTATAACGAACTCACTATTTGTGAAAAATACTGTATCACCGGACCGCGTCGCAAAAAACTCAGGTTCGCGCAGTACATATTTTGTATCAACTTATGCAATTATAATTATTTATTTATTTTATTTATGCAGTATTTCTTTTTCTTTGATATTAATTCAAGTTACTTAGGTTAATCCAATCAAATTCAACCAGATTTAACCGAACCCGCGTTATAACGAACTCACTATTTGTGAAAAATACTGTATCACCGGACCGCGTCGCAAAAAACTCAGGTTCGCGCAGTACATACGTCAGGGCGGCCGTACGGCAATTATATTAACAAGACGCGCAACTACTCAGTTCCACGCTCCACGGCAAGATTTGTCACTTATTATTTATTGTCCAATTAATTGTCTTTAAGTTCAAATGGCACGCTCTATTAACATAAGTCTAAGACAAAACAAGGAGACTTTCAATATATGAACAACCCGGCTTCGCGCAAAAACTCTCGCGACCCCTATAATGCGACCGGAGAACGTCATCGGCGCAGGCGCCGCGTGCCTAGCTAGGAGCGCCCTAGCGGCGGTCCGGGTGCAGCCCGGCCCCGCCGTCTGCTCCCTAGCTCGGCTCGATGCCAACAGGGGTGACCGACCGCGCGCACAAATGCAGCTAGCCTCCCCCTCCCGCACCTCACTAATCGTCGCTTCACACCGCTTGAGATAAGACGATCTACTATCAGGCGCTAACAAACCCCCGTCCCGGATATAAGGACCTATGTCCGCGAGTAAATTGGCAATTAGAAGACGCTTTGTATTGTTGGTTTTTACAAAAACGATCAACTGGGCAAATGATATCTGGCCCTTTGCTTTGTGAAAAAGCATTACAGTTAAATAAAAAATTAGGTGACGATGGCTCGTTTGTCGCAAGTAACGGATGGCTATATAGATTTATATCTCTTCATGGAATTTAATCAATGTTTATTAAAAAATAATAATTTCTTAATAAACATTGATTTTCGTTGAAATTGTTGTTTTTAATAAACACATAACATTATGTATGTACATATGTATGTACTACAAATGCACAAAACCCGCTTTTCTTCATACATTCGATCATCCGGATTTTCGATTATCCGAATCCCTAACGGCAACAATTAGTCCGGTTAATCGAGTATATATATACATATTGAGAATATAAATTGAGAATTTAAACTATACGCGTGTGTGTGTTTGTGTGTATATAAAGAGGGCTACTTTTAATATCGCTCATTTTAATATCAAAAATTTAGGTTATCTTTATAGCAGTATTATATTTTCAATTCAAAATTAGTACTGCATTTGTGATAATAATGTAGGTATGTATATAGAGTACTCACTCATTTTCTTTCACTATTTTTTCGTGACTTTCTTCATTAAGGTGGCTTCATTAAGTCGCGGGCTCGAACTCATTGGTGGGCGCGGCCAAAAAGCACGTTGTCTCACCTGGCATCGTGCCCGACAGAGATAGTATCAGTGAAGAGCAGTTAGAACGCACGTCTTGTTCGTACGGCGTTCCGAACCGTTAGAACAAAAACGAAGTTACACGAACACGATGCACACATACATACCACCCTATTCTGTGCCGCTCGACGCTTGCTGAGAAATCAGCAGTACCTACCTACAAACTCGTACTAAATTATTAGGTGCTGCGTTATCGCTTTATACTATACCTCTATGGCTCTATAGATACCTAATATAGATTGCTTATTTTATTATGTTTTGTTTTCCCCGGGTGGTCATGCAGCGATCACTCAAGAGTTCACGACGCCGAAGCATGAACTGGAACAGTCATCGCAGTTTATATCCGTCCTAGCTGTTGCCAGCGGCTTCAAACGCGTGAACTCGAAAATTATCCCACAGGAACGAAATACCTGAATAAACGGTATCAAATGTGTTATTCCAGACCAGGTATAACCTATCTCTGAGCTAAATATCATCCAGATCCCTTCAGCTGTGATTGAGTAACATACATCTATCCATCCAAACTTTCGCATTTATAATATTTAGATAATAATTGTAATTAGTTCTGCCTACCTATAAATTGTCTTCAAAAATACTTACCTGTCTTCTTACTTTGTTTTATATACACACAATATCACTAGATGTAAACACATGTTTTTATCAAGACAAGTGACCCGTCAAGACTGTTTCCTTAGTACCGACGTACTTAGGCAGGTAGGTAGGCAGTTTAGATTTTAGTTTCCACGACGCAGCGACAGTTTGCCAAATTTTGTTGTATAGGTTGTGGGTATCTAGGTAATAACAGTAGGTAGACTACCTATCCACCGTCCACGCCGCGCAAGTGATTCTCGTCCCACCTGTCCGCGCAGTAACTTTTTTTACGACCGCGCGAGACTGTCGCAACAAAAACGATTACTACCGAAAAACTAAATAGGTACCTACCTAACATTCAAATAAAAATACGAGGGTGGATTGAAAAGTACTCGGCCTAACCAAGAAAATAAACACATACTAAATCAGTTATATTTTTAAATTTCTACATAATCACCATCAAGTTCAATACACTTTTGCCACCTCCCCTTCCAAGCATTTAGACCATTGAAAAAAAAATGATTCTTCCTTAGAGTCAAAATATGCGTCTACAGCTGCTTTGACATCGTCGTTTGTCGAAAATCTTTGACCTCCCAAGTGCTTTTTTAGGTTAGGGAACAGAAAGAAGTCTGATGGTGCCAGATCAGGTGAATACGGCGGATGCGGTAACAGTTCAAAGCCACAGTTGTGAATTTTAGCCATTGACTGTACTGACGTGTGAACACGGGCGTTATCTTAATGAAACAGGACTTTTCATCTGAGCATTCCTCGACGTTTTTCTTTTATTTCCTCTCGTAAATGACGTAGTAAGGTGCAGTAGTAATCAGAGTTTATAGTCTGACCCCTTTCAAGATAATCAATCATAGTCACACCTTTCGAGTCCCAGAATACTGAAGCCATCACCTTATTTGCCGACAAAATCGACTTAGCCTTTTTAGGGGGTGGTGAACCAGGTCTTCTCCACTGTTTTGATTGTTGTTTTGTTTCCGGTGTACAGGAATGAACCCATGTTTCGTCCATAGTAACAAAACGATTCAAAAAATCATCTGCATCGGCTTCAAATAACTCCAAACAGTCGCGTGAAATAGTCAATCGCGTCCTTTTTTTGTTCAACTGAAAGCAGTCGCGGAACCCACCTCGCAGACACCTTGTGGAAACCCAACTCGTTGACAATGATGTTTTGAGTTCATTCATAAGAGATGCCTATAATCTCGGCTATCTCTCTAATTTTTAATCTGCGGTCTCCCATTATTAAATCAAGTACTTTTTTTAATATTTTCGTCAGTAGTTGACGTCGAAGGCCTTCCAGAGCGTGCTTCATCTTTCACACTCTCTCTACCACGCTTAAATTCTGCTATCCATTTTTTGACGGATGAATATGACAGAGCACAATCGCCTAATGTACTGACCATGTCATCATGGATAGCTTTTGATGATACCCCTTCTTATGGAGGTGCTTAATGACGGCACGCTGCTCGATTTGCTCCATTCGCGGAAATTATGTCCGATTACTTTGTTAATAAATTTATAAAATCACAACTAATTATCGCACACGTTTCGAACTTCACACAATGAACTAGTCTGAACTGAACTAAATAATGTGGGTAGATTTGATTTTTAGAATTGAATGGATCTGTGTTAGGCCGAGTACTTTTCAATCAACCCTCGTATTCTCAAAAAGCTCAACGAATTCAGAATTTAATTTTGTTAAAAGAAAATTGGTCAAATAAAAAATAAAGGATGAAAATAAAGCATATGGGAATATAAAAATAAATCATATTTATTTGTTACTTATTTCGAGTTTTACAAGAAAAGTATAATATTTACTGGAGACAATTATTTTATTATTATAATAGTACATGATATTCCCTTTAAAATGACACTAATATGAATAATATCTTATATCTATATCTACAAATAAATAAAATTGAAGTGTCTGTTTGTAATGTTAAAATAACAGCTTTTTATTAAATGCATATGAAAGTACTATTTTTGTCTGTCTGTCGGTCTGTCTGTCTGTTTGTTCCAGCTAATCTCCGAAACAGCTGGATCTATTTTGACGGGACTTTCACTGGCAGATAGCTGATGATATAAGGAATAACTTGAACTACTTTTGTTTTAGAAAAAAGAATTAGGGTTCCGCGCAAAAAAATTAAAACCCATGAAATCCATATTCCACGTGGGCGAGATCGCGGGGAACAACTAGTACTCAATATAGATAAATGTATATTTATTTTTATTTATTTATTATTTTAATAAATAAATAAAAATAAGTATTAATAATTTCTAGACACATCTCAACAGATATTTCGTTTATAAATTGCTATCAATATTGAAGCATTCTTTTATATTTAGCATCCATTTAACACAAAGCTGATAGGAATACTTTTTAAACAACATAATATAATCAATAAACGATAATCGCGTATAGTGAATTTCGAGGTAAATTATTATATGTAAACGTTTTTGAATCGTCGTAATGAAACATATTTCCTAAAGAAAATATCTTCACAATTAATTTGATGTAAAATAACATTAGAAATAACGTATAAAAACAGAAAAATTATCAAATTTTTGATCGAGTTCCTAACCAGTACACAAACAAAAATGGCGAAATATCATTTTCAGATTTTTTTTATATAGTTATTTGTTACAGAGTACACAGATAAAATTCACTCTCACAGATGACAAATTTCAAACACCACAATCTCTAATTTTTTACTCTGCTATCTTCAGCGCTGTACACGAACGGAACGATGTCGTTGAGAGCCGTGGTAGCTCACATGGTTAGCGCTCGTTATAGGTGTCACAGTACGGGAGCAACCCGGGTTCGATCCCCACTGGCACCAATGAAATTGTTGCGTGCTGATTTAGCTATCAGTTGGAAAGTCTGTTTTTCTGGGCCGTTTTGTTTTGTTACACTGACATCTCGCAAGTCACCTAGGGACCTAGGAGGTTGTCGGTTGCTTATTTTTTATTTTTCTTTAAAATTTTCGTCGGTAAAATAACATATTTATAAAAGTAAAAAAAAAGTAAAGTTACAGCCTATATACGTCCCACTGCTGGGCACAGGCCTCCTCTAATTTCTGAGAGGGTTTTAAGGCAAGGAAATGTCCGCCACGCTGCCTCAATGCGTGTTGACGAACTTCACATTTCTTCGAAATATATATTTTTTACGCGGCCCGCGCCTTGCCGCCACTTGCGTTTGCCGCGCTTTGTCTCGTCACAGAGTGGCGAAATCACAGTAATATAGGTATTTTATAAACAGCACCTGTCTAATATTATGAAATATGTAGATAAAACTTAAAACTTACCTTGATAAATGTATACCCTTTTGTTTGTAATATTTTTTTAGACCTCTCTTCAATCGTTTCTGCTTATTCCCCATGTTTTACAAACTAAACTTAAACATTAATAAAACAGTACAATTAATATAACTATAAAACACTACTATTAAACAAGAATCAGAAAAAACCTACTCCACTATTAACAAAATTAAATTTTTGCAGTAATATTTTACGATTTTATTTCGTAGTGCTGAGCTCTCGCAACGCGGCGTACGTCCACCTAGCAACACGATGCGCCCCGCACTGAATTCGTGGACGAATGCGGGGGTGATATAGACGCAGTATTTAATCGGGACGCATATTTAATTTATTATCATAAAAATAATACATATTTCTAAAAAGTAACCAAACCAAATTATTTTATTTTGTATTGCAAAGCAGTAGATATTTTTTTTATATTCCTTTGATAAACAATGAAAGAGTAAAGTGGTTTCATCTCAACGATTTGGAGGTGATTTGGGTATTTTTTTATTTATTATGTGACACCGATAGAAAAATTATGGCTAAACCAAATTACGTATCAGATCATGTAGATTACTAGCTATTTTTTTCATATGTAACTTCAAGCCACACCTCCGTGCCCGTCGGAGAGCGTGAGGTTTTTTTCGTTACGAAATTTCTGGATTTTCCCGCACTCAAGGCCCGCGATAGAAGCTATGCAATAGCTTAAAAACCCAACAAGAGATTTTGCCTACTCGCGATTTAAAATCGGGACCACAGGATCGGCAGTCGCGCTTACTACCACTACACTAACGAATCAGTCACATTTGTAAAATTTATATTTTTTTATATGTGGTAGACACATGGTAATGGCAATAACACAATAAATTTAGTAGGCATCTTCGACCTTTTCACTTCGCATGATCAAAAAGTAGGGTGGATATGATTTGCATTTCGATAGATTTTAATTTATTTATCAATTTAATTCAAAATTATTGTTTTTAATTTTTGTAAAATATCAGTGCCATAGGCTTCTACATCGTTCACATGTTACACCCTATTTTTTTCTAGACAGTAAAAAAAGGTCATCTGGTCCCTAGATAAATCACCTGGTTACTTGTTACATACTGTATGAATAAAAAAATATAGGCTATCTTCTATGTGACTTCACTGACATGACCGTGGTTGCAAAATGTTACTTGTCGAAATTAAAAATAAAAATACAGATAAAACCTTTTTTTTTAAAGAATCTTAATTAAAGTATCTTCTTCATTATCAAGCTATAAAAGTTCGCTGCTGGATAATATGCCTCTCCCATTGTGAGGAGGATTTATCTTAATTGTAACAGTCAGTTATCTTGTGACAGGCGGATACACAATTGCTGTACCAGATGTAAGCACCTTTATCACTTCCACATTGGTCTAGTGGTTGTAGTAGTGCAACTGCTGATTATGAGGTCCTGAGTTCGAATCCGGGTCGGGCTAAAAAGTTAATTATTGAGTTTTTCCGTCAAGAAATTCTCAGCAGCTGCCCGGAGTCATGAAGTCGGTGGTGTCTCACCCCCGTGCCTCGGAAAGCACGTAAAGCCGTTGGTCCTGCGCTTGATGTCTCTCCGGTCGTGTCGGTTTACCGTCCCATCGGATTATGAGGGTGAGGGAATAGAGTGCACCTGCGCATACACTTGGGCACTATAATCCTGTCCTGCGCCGATGGCTAGTCTCCGTTGAGGCAGGCCGCCGTGATTGAAATTCGGTCTGGAGGACATTATTATCTCTGTAAATATAAGAAATCATCACATACAGTTATATATTTGTACTATCGAATATTCCAGGATGAGATGTGGGAGAAGAAGTGTCAAAAGATCTTCCAGTTCTGCCATCAAACGATCAGCATGCTCGTCAAGGCCGAGTTGGCTGAATTGCCTTTACGGTAAAAACTATTGCAATTAACTTTTTTGTAGGAGAGAGGAATTTGGTTTTTTTATAGTAGAGGGGACAAACGAGCATACAGCTCACCTGATGGTAAGGGATTACCGCCGCCCATGAACAACTGAAACACCAGGGGAGTTCTCTGCATCTGCAGATGCGTTGCTGGCCTTTTAAAAAGGAGTAGGCTCTTTTCTTGAAGGTCTCTAAACCGTATCGGTCCAGAAAAAACTGGTGGTAGTCGATTCCACAAGGAAGTTGTGCAAGGAAGAAAACTTCTTTTAAATCGCTCAGTGGTGGACCGCCAGTCTTCCAGATGGTATGGATGGTATCGCGATGTGCGATGGTGAAATTATGTGGTAGGATTCCTTTTGTGTTTACACGTGATAAAAGTAAAAAATGATTTCCAATTAGAATTGTTCATAATGTATATTGAGTATAAATTTATTTTATTCTATTTTGTCAACAACAGCAGCTTGTAAGATCTGAGTATGGTACTCTATCATTGTAGAGTTAATTGCGTTAATTACGATGCTGTTTCCAGTCCATCTGTCTAGTTCAGTCTGACGTAAACTGAATGGTTATATTGCCATCAATCGGATGCCATGAGATCTTTTGGCATATCCCATGGTCGCTACTTAGCCTCTTTCGACAACTACAGGCAGAAATTGGTGATGGTGTATCTTAGGCTACCAATGCACGGCTTAAGGCTGCATAAAGTATAGTCATGGAAAATAGGTTTGACTTTTGTGTGTAAATCAAGTTCAAAAATAAAAAAAAAACAAAGATATCTTAAGATAATTAATTATTATTCTAAATGCTATATTTTTTAGAGATGGGCCGAATATTCGTTTCATATTCGGTATTCGGCAGCTTTACTAAATATTCGTATTCACCCGAATATTTGGCTAAATCACCGAACACACGTTAAAGTGGTACTCAGTGTATCCACTGTATTGAAATGTACGAATTGAGTAATGCCATGTCTTTCACAATTTTACTGTTGAAAGTATATTTTATTTATGGGTTAAATATCTTTGTATAGCATTGTTTTATTGCCATTGTGTATTTATTTCCAATTATTGCAAAAAGAACTTGATAAAATATTTTTGGAATCAAACAAAGAAACATTACATTACATTAGTACCACTTTACTTTGGTTGTCAGGTTCTCTAAAATAAGTCCAAAGAGTAGATCTACTGCCACTCATTTTATCATATAATTATCAATCTTCAGTGGGAATTACACAATGAAATACTTTTTTTCTCACAAAAATAGTCAAAACAAACATGTATCGGCAATTTGCTCAGTACGAGATGATGTAATAACATGTCAGGTGAGGCGGGGGAGCGAGGGGCAGGGTCATATCCCGAGCTCTTTACGCTAGCAAGTTTCGACATTAATTGGTTAGCCGAGGTGATCCTGCCGAATAATGTTCCGAGTAATATTCGTATTCGGTGATATCCATATTCGGCCCATCTCTAATATTTTTCAAATACATGATAGGAAAATCAGTACACAGTTGATAGAATAATAAACCGTGGAATGGCAGTGTAAGAATATCCACTACCCCGTACTACGATTCCCGTGGGTGTTGTAAATATAGGCAGCAGCATCTTCTTGATGCCATGCATGATGATTGCCAGCCAACCAAGCGTGACAACTATGGAAAAATTCCCTCTGTGAGGCAATCTATTCACCTCACCTCAGCGGTGGACTTGTATAGACTGTATGAAACAGAAGGCATGGATTCTCTTAGGTCGCTACCGCACGGCTAAGACTGCACAAAGTAAGGTTACGCAAAGTATCATTGAATTTTACTATATTTATTTATTTATTGGGTCTACCAGCGATTTTACATACGTTACATACATTCCTTAAAGTATAATTACTATATTACTTGCACAGAGTATATAAAATCATTTAAAGGTAAACACTACATGCTATTTTTGCTAGTATTAGTGTATAAATCTGAAATAAGTTAATAACAGAAAAAGAAAACAAAATCAGAAACAAACTAAAAAAAAACACAATAGTAATTTTGGTAATAGCCTGTAAAACCTTATTACTGTACTGGATAACCTTTTTTACCGTTTGGAAAAAATAGGGTGTAACATGTGAACGGAGTAGAAGCCCATGGCACCGATGTTTTACAAAAAATAAAAACGATAATTAATTAAAATTTATCGAAATCCAAATCATATCCACCCACCCTACTTTACGAACGGCAATAAAACTATAAATTTAGTGGGCATTTTTGACCTTGTCACTTCGCAGGGTCACAGGCTCAAGGACAAAGGGCAAAGTAATTGTTCAAAAAAATTTTCAAACATTTAATTCAAAATTTGTTTTTATTTTTTTAAATATTGCTCCCTATTTTTTATTTGTTTATTTGTTACTCCCTATTTTTTTCCAGACGGTTTTCACAGAATAATTTATTTTCATTCATAACACTTTAATTTTTAAAATACCATCATGATATTTTCTTGATAGAATAAAATTGTCGCTGTTATTAATATAATGCAGATGATTTTATGGATAAAAATTAGATATAAATATACAATCACTAACAAGTGAATATGTAATCACATATTCACTTGTTAGTGATTGTATATGTATAGCTAATTTTCTCACTAAGTAATTTTCAAATTAGCTACAAGACATGAAATGAAAATAATTTTGGCACATACATCATTTTTATTCCGTGAAAGACTTGGTCATCCATCGCAATCGCACTCAGTTACATACATGCATTTGTTTCATGCTGTTTTCAATTTCAATCAGTTACAATCACTCCATTGAAACGGGGATTTTCAGCCCACAGTTTGGATGAAATATTATAACGCAAGGGAATTGATACTTCTTGAACTAGTATACGTTCGGAAAGAATATCTGCATACACGAAATGCTTAATTAAATTATTAATCGAATGAATTTTTAAAATACCTTATATTCATGGAAAAAAAACTTTATCGCCAGGAAAATTTTGTTTTTTTTTTTTTTATATGATTAGGTACCATATATTATTTTTCGATAATATGAAAGACATGTTATTCTTAGACTTAGATTCTTAATCGGCTACATTTTGTTTAGATCTTTTATTTCTTGATAATATGCAAAAACGTTTCAAATAAAGTAACTTTTGTCCACCGATTGTCGCACGTTTACTTCGTGCTGGACAAATATGAGCGGAGAACGGAGGGCTAAAAGACTTTTAACGTCGGAAATACTCGCCTTAATATTTTAATACATCTGCTTCGGCTCCCAAAATCAGTTATTGAGTTTTCTGTCAAGAAATACTCAGTACCAGCTTGGAGTCAGAAATTTGGCGGTGTTTTACCCCTGTGCCTCTGAAAGTACTTAAAGCCGTTGTTTGTACGCCTGATCTCTCAACGGTCGTTTCGGATTTTTGTTCCATCGGACTAAAGTGAGAGTAAAGGACAAGGTGTAAGTGACAGTGCACCTGTGTGGTCTTGTGTAGTTCGCAAACGATGAACAAATAAGAAACGTATCTTAGCACTGTACTAGAACAAACGTTTCCGAACGTTGATTGTTAACCGGTTTAATAGTCGATCGCGCGTGCGAACGGGAACACTAGAGCAAGTAAACGAGAGAAACGGTGAGAAGTTAAAGAATAGACGTTAGTTAAATCAATGCAATAACGTCAATTTTAGGTTATCATCCGATCATCATAGCATCTTGCAAGACTCGTGTTCGCAAATTATTGTACTTATTATAATTAATAAATAGATACAAACAAACATTTGCTAGATTTCGTTTCGGCAACTGTTGAGGAGTTTTTTATGTTTTTTATAACTCTTATGATATTCGTTTTGTTCTGGAACGCTTTTTATTTTATATTTTTATTGATATGAGATTTTTTACAACACTAATATGCTTTAGACTTATAATTTGACCAAGAAATTATTAAGTGTGTGTACGAGTATTCAAACAACATTACGACTCGAGCAGATATCGACTGACTGAGATAGCCATTCCATACATACCGATACAGATACGATTCAGTCATAACTTATGGGCTAAGCAGCTACTCACGAACAGACAAATCACACCTACAATATATTAATAAACTACAACTTAGGATTTTAAATGCGATTGTGCCTATAAAAATTAAACTTCAGGCAAAAACAAATGAAAATTTTGTATTTAAATTCTGTAAGGTACTCAATATCCATGATAAAGTTTAATATCAATTGTTAAAGGAACAATTCTTTAATTTGGGTATACAGCATACAGTTTCAAACAAAATTCAGACCCGCAAAGTAACTCAAAAAATAATTAATAACAGTACCACCCAAAAATAAATATGGTGAGCGCATCAGCGCATACATAATAACTCGCCTAATAAATGGTCGGGATAATAAATTTAGAAGTGAACTTACTAAAGATAACATAAAGTATAAATTAAAATGTTTTTACCTTAACAAATATTAGCTGTTATCCCCACTTTTGTAATAAATAGTATTATATAAATGTAGACGGAACGGCACACAACACAAACCTGCGTGGTTTTTCGCTGTGCCGCATAGCAAATTTATATAATTTTTTTTTTGATAATAAATTTAAAAAAAAGATACACTTTAAGCTGTTTAGTAGTACTGATGACTGAACAGAGCTAATAGAATTAACTAGTTTACTGTCCGAAATGAACTAGTACGGAGCGATCTTTACAATGACCGAGCAGGCCACAAGACTACACCTGTGCTTGTACACACACTCGTGCACTATAATTGTGTCCTGTGCATCTGCTCAGTCATAACGGCGGCCAGTCCCCGTTAAGACTGGCCGCCATGACTGTAATTCGGTTTGGTGGACATTAACATTAAAATTACATCTACTTCTTTTCAGATTATACCTCCAGGGGGCGCTAGCGATCAGTGAAATCGGCTTCGCGAACCACGAAACCATCGCCTACGAATACCTCTCACAGGCGTTCTCACTGTACGAAGACGAGATATCCGATAGTAAAGCTCAACTGGCTGCTATAACGCTCATTATTGCAACTTTCGAACAGATAAATTGCTTCGGTAAGATTTCTTCTTTTACGTGTTTTAACTTATAACAAATAACAATGTCCCAAATGTGTTACTTGCCTAAAAATAGGATTTTGGATTTTGGTTTGTGTACAGTGTTGCCAACTTGACGGGTTTCCAGTTAGATTTGACGGGACAGCGAGGTTGGCAACGGGAAAAAATTGTGTTTAGCGGCTAACGGATTTTGTAACGGGACAACTAAAATTTATGTTTTTTTAGATTTGTTTTCGAAATAAAAATAATTCGGAAATGGCAAAAATTAAATTATAATTTTATTAATGTTTTTAGTTTAAAAATACGAAAAATGTGCAATACAATGTATGATAGACACTTGTCTACCGTACTTGATGGGATTATAGTGTTCTCTACAACGGGAGCTAGATTTTAATGTTGGCAACACTGTTTGTGTCTGCTATGGGCTAGTCACTTCTATCACAATTTTCCCTTTAATCCCATTCTTTTGACTAAACTTGGTCAGATAAGGTCTCTACTCTTTGGACTCAGCCTACCCCCGCAGAGATTACCGACGTGAAGCTATGTATAATAAATATATCATTTGTTTAATATACTTCAGGTGCTGAAAACGCAGAGCCAATGCGAACTCAATGTGCCTTAGCCGCGAGTAAACTGCTGAAGAAACCAGACCAGAGCAGAGCAGTGGCTCTGTGTGCGCATCTCTTCTGGAAGGGGGCTAAGGATGGCAAGCAGGTATTAACTTATTCATATTAAGCCCTTTTATACATGTTCCTGCATGGTACAGCATGGGTGTGCCAAAAATCAATGTTAAGTCGGAAACAGGTGATAGGCCAGGTGGCGGCAGTTATCCATAAAACATATAAATTTATAATGTATTAAAAAAATCGCGAATATTGGCTTTTGATGATCTTTCAAATACTCAGGCGATAAATCTTTACCTTTTTTGTGATGTAACCTTGTAGTTATAGTCTAGAACGACTGCCTCAATTTTAAAGAAAAATTTTGCATGTGGTAGAGCCATGCTGCATTTATATTACTGGTGTAGTTGTAACACGAATGGGTCGGTTCGACCGGGGAAGGATCACGCTCTCACAGAATACCAGCATAAAACACAACACAGCAGCTTAACGCTGTTGTGTTTCGTATGGTGTAGAGAACCAGACACCTTTTTTTCCGGTTGACAACGCATCTGCATTTTGATTCGTAATCGAGATTGGATGTAGATGTCTGTGTGCCACAGCAACCACTTACCATCAGGTGGACTGTGTGCTCATTTGTCAGCCTATATATATATATATATATATATATATATATATATTCCTATAAAAAAACTTCACTTTTTTGTCCAACCATATATTTAAAATCACTATTAGTTAGACATCCAAAGATGGTCCCACTATATGGCTATATTTGATAAGCCATATAGTGGGCTCAACCCTAACTTAGACAGATCATTGCAGCCTATTGAAATCCACGGCTGAACATAGGTTTCTCCTATAAATTGCGTTATAGGGGATATTATAATATCATAATATAAATGACGAATGATCAGTTGACAATATTTAATGAAATTTAATTTTTAAAACAAATGTGTAAGTATTATTTAGTCTGACATTTTATAATATAATTTATATATTGTGTACTATAAACACTACTATAAATACTGTAATTTGAATGAAATGAAAATGAATTCTATATTAATTAAAATTTAAACTCTGTTTTAATATGCTACGCCCGTACAGGGTGTCACATGCTCTGTAAATATATTGTTCCAACTTTATACTTTGTGACATGCAATAAAGAATTATGAAAAAAAAATTATTTGCCATAGTTGCCACGCTTGGCAAGCAAGTTGGCAAGTATTAAGGAGTCGCTGCTGCCCATCCGATTTGCTTCCCTCTGTGGCTTCTTACGACATCCTCGGGATGATACGAGGCAGTTGATATTCTTACAACGCCACTACGCGCTCACTTGGACAGATAATCATCCATATTTTTACTGACAAGCCCATTGACTGATATTAATATTAATGAATAAATGTATATTTTCAGTGGCCTCTAAACGATGCGTCGCGTGCTTTGGACTGCCTGAAGAAAGGTGCCCGTGTTGCCCAGCAGTGTATGGATGGAGGAGTCCAGGCTCAACTCCTGGCTGAGCTGCTGGGACGGTATGCACTGCTACGGGAGAGGGGCAACGCCAGCCTCACCACCAACCTCATTGATGCTGTAAGTTACCTCACACAAATACCAATTACTTTACTCCGAGTCAGTAATTTCTTTTTGAGCGATATATGTATACGCTTTTACAACAAAATCCCACAAAATATACAAATTTTGACCTCGTCAAAGTTCAAAAACTTGAATTTCAAGGTTCAAAAACGCGGAGGCATTTCATCTTAGTCTCAGAGATGACGACATATCAGTAGCCTTCTTTGTTTGGAGTTGGTGTTTAACAAATGCAGTATCTCGTGGTGAAATTAAAAATTTTGTACAACCGACTTCGAATACGTATTATTAAGGATAGCCCAAAAACTACTGGTCAGATCCAGCTTTTAAATAAAAAAAGAATCATCAAAATCGGTTGACCTAGAAAAAATTTCTGAGGCAACACACAAAAAATACAAAATTGAGAGCCTCCTCCGTTTTATGAAGTCGGTTAAAAAGTTAAAATTGCTACCTATATACGACCCACTGCTGAGCACAGCTCTCTTACTTCTGAGAGGTTTTTAGAACAAGGAAATATTCGCCGCACTGTCCCACTGCGTGTTGGCGAACTTCACATGTCTTTAAAATACAAGGTGGCCCATAAGTCGTTAGAAATGTAAATTTTGAATAAAATACAAAAAGGCGCGCATGAGTGGCTACCATTGCGCGGCGTAAATTTCGAGAATATCAGAGTTTACGCAACTTTAAAGACATTCTAAGTGTTCAAACGATTAAGAACTGGGTTATTAAGTTCGAAGAGAGTGGTTCGACGTTGGATAAACAACGGTCAGGTCGACCAAGGACATCACGGACGGAAGAAAACATCCATGTAGTGAAACACTCAATTCGTGAAAATCCTACCCAGTCTACTCGTAAGCGTTCCAGTGCATTAAACTTACCCAGAACATCGTTACAGCGAATTTTAAAGAAAGATTTACATCTTCACCCGTACAAGATTCAGATAGTACAGGAATTAAAAGATACTGACACTATCCACAGACTAAATTTCGCAAATGAAATGTTGAACCGCTTTACTTCGTTTAATAACGTGTTATTCTCTGATGAGGCTCACTTTCACATCAACGGCCATGTCAATAAGCAAAATTGTCGCTACTGGAGTTGCGAAAATCCAAATCGCAAACATCAAAAGCCCTTACATAGCCCTAAAGTGACAGTTTGAGCGGCTATGTCAGCGCATGGCATTATAGGCCCTTACTTTTTTGAGGACGGCAGAGGCCGCGAGCTTACTGTTACTTCACAACGGTATGTAGCTGTGATCCAGGACTTTTTTTACACCAGAGTTGCAGAATTTTCCAGGCTTCAATACGCGGACCTGGTTTAAACAAGATGGAGCAACTGCCCATACCTCTAACGTCGCTATGCCGGTCGTCCGTCAACTTTTCCCTAATAAAGTGATCTCTCGAAGAGGAGATATTCCTTGGCCACCACGTAGTCCAGATCTGACCCCAATGGACTTTTTCTTATGGGGTTATCTTAAGACTAAAGTGTACGAAACCAACCCGCGGACAATTGACGTCCTGAAAGAAAATATCCAAAGAGAAATGGCAAACATTACAGAGCTTACTTGCCGCGCAGTGATGGATAATTTTAAACGTCGCTTACAAGAGTGCCGCGATCGTAACGGATTACATTTAGATGATGTAATTTTCAAAAAATAATTCCCATTTTATAAGGATTATGACAAAATAAAAACCTTTTTCATAATGTCATTAGTTTTTTTTTTTAAATTATTTTTTTACATTTCAAGGGACTTATGGGCCACCCGGTATATTTATAATTTCTCTGACATGCAGGTTTCCCCACGATGTTGTCCTTCACCGCCGAGCACGTGATAAACCAGCACGTAAAATTGCAGTTAACAATTTCTTTGGTGCCGTCGGGGATAGAACCTAGGTTGCCCGCGTAATGTGACATTTACAACCACATAGCCCCTGTGCTACCAAGGACAGTATACTTATAACTAAATCTATCCTCGATCAAGAAGCAAAATTGATCTGTATTGTCATTTGTTACCCCTAATGACTTAAATGGGACGCCTCCGTTACCAATCATTTTATTTACCAGCTTTTCAAGCACTTCATTTGTAACTGTGTAGTTACAGAGTGGAATAAGCTGCCAAAGAATGTAGTCTCAGCCCAAAATGTGAACCATTTCAAAAATAGATTATATAATCATTTCTGAACTGCAATAGGATTAACTTGTGAGCACAAACAGTATACAGGCACTATCAGTTGTATCAACTGCCTTCCTGCTATTTTTTTAAATATAATAAAAGTAAAAAACGAGCACACAGTCCACCTGATAGTAAGTGGATGTTGTGGCCCATAGACATCTACATTTATCCTCGATTAAGAATCAAAACGCAGATGCATTGTCATCCCTGAGGACTAAGATGGAATGCCTCATTACCAGTAAAAAGTTCTCTCGTTCTCTACACTCACCATACGAAACACAGCAGCATTAAGCTGCTATTTTACGCTGGTATTCTGTGAGAGCGTGATCCTACCCTGATCGAGCCGACCCATTCTTGCTGCACCCATAATATAGCTGCAGCTTGGCTCTACCACGTATGCTCGTCATTAGCTACTTAAATTATTTATTAGACTACGTAAGAGAATTATTAAAAAAAGGATTCTCATGCAGAAATTAAGCTCTACCACTACAATTAAGGCTTTAATTATAGACATTTGGTGTTTAACCTAAACTTTTAATTCAAGGTGATCCAAAAAATACGAGAGGAGCTGGCCAACCTCGACCAGTCTGAGGAAGTGGAGCAAATCACGAAGCATTTCCACAATACGTTGCAGCATTTGAAGAATCGCATGGAGTGTCCCGATCCGGACGGACTAGGCTACGAGGGATTAGTACTGTCTTAATTTCTATGAGTGATTTAATAGTTAGTGTATGTAACTATAATATTGCCAATAGAACAAGATTGGTTGCTTTAAGTCAAAGAGTTTTAATATTTACACTTCCCAATCTTGGAACAGGGCCATTATTTGATGAAGTAACTAAATTATTTAAAAGTTTGTCCTGAGTACAAATCAAATTAGGCAGAAAGCATTTTTTCACGTATGAAACAATCAAATAAATAACGTCCTAGTTAAATTTAGTAAATATTATGCAAGAAATATATTACTGCAAAGGAAAAGCAAACTTCCGTTTTGCATACATTTCAACTATATTTGAATTGGATAATGTAAATATTTTATTATCAGTGAAAATAATTGTAAATATCCAATTTTGTCTAATTTTAATTTATTGGCCAATCAAATTATTTTCAAGAGAACCATGTCAAAGTTGTTTTTTATCAATTGATATTGGAATGTATTATATATCTAGCGTAAGAAACATTCCTGTTTTAATTAATGACATTTTGTGTTGGTAAAGATGTATTGAAATCAAGTTTGAATATTTAAAATATTAGATTATTGAATCAATGGGCAGGGTTACCTGTAGGTAACTAGTTCGAATGTTGTCTTTTCACTAATGTTTTCTTTATTCAATCTTGGTAGTAAAAATATTATGTTTAAAATATATTCTGAATATATTCTGGTATTGATCTGCGAGTTATAACTGATAGCACAATATTTAACATCTATACCTGAATATTGCTTCGGAAATCTAATTCAAGACAAAACTGCAATATCTCATTCATTCTTGAATAATTTTTCATCCAGCAAAGCAAACAACACCAACCACTAAAATATTACCTTCTTATATGATTCATAATTAAAAGGAAATATGTGCCTAATGTTGAGACATATATATTATGTAGGCTGTGTTATCTTACTAAGTTATGGATTTGAAAGCACAATATATTTTTTTATAATTTAAAACCAATCTTTTATTTTTGTGCAGCTCGAACTCAAACTTAAGACCCTGCAACAAGAACTAAACTTCCTTTAAAGTTACATCTCACTGCTGGTCCAACACATGCATGAGAGGGTCATAAGCAAAAATGAATTACAATGCAAGCTAATTGGTAGAATTGTGCTATCAGTTAATAAGATTTAATATTTATAATATTATGTAAGGAATTAGATTTATTTTAAGGATTATATAATAGAGATTGTTAGTTCATTAACAAAGCAATATACGAAATGTTTTATATTTATAAGAGTTGTTTTATTTACGAATCACCAACATATCTTGTTTCAACTATACTCATAGACAAATTTAGATCTTTCAAATTAGCAAGGGAGGGTTTCTTTTCTAAATTGGTGTTCCAATCTTATCCCGGACATGCTCTAATAGGATTAAGTCGGGTGAGCGCGCTGGCCACCTTATAGCATTGATTTCCACGTCAAAGGTATTCATCGACTACAGCCGCAGTATGGGCTAATAATCACGACACGGAGCTCCATACGCGCTCCATACAAATACCTCCCTATACCGTAATTCTCAAGTATATATACAACAACCTATGACCATAACTGACCCTCCACCATATGCCTCTTTTCCAATGATGATGCACTGAGCGTATCTCTCTCTCGGGCGTCTCCACACTTTGATCCTTCCATCATCTGGCTTCAGACAAAATTTGGACTCGTCTGTGAATAAGAACTTAACTCCAAGCTTCGTTATTCCAATCATGATTGCAGACAAAATTAACTCAAGCTACTCGATTGATTTGTAGTAATAGGAGTAGTATGTATCAACACAAATAAATCGATTAAAATAATAAGTTGGTACAGTTAGTCAAGTTACGGCTTACATACGACGTGCCCGTCATATATAGGCCGTAGTCATTGCAAAATTTAATTTATTTTTACTAGTAATAGCATTTACTTAAGTACTGTGTGTGGCCAGTAGCTTTCGGACCATCAAGTTGAATTCGCATAAAGTTGAAATCTCAAAAAGTTGAACTTGTGTAATATTGAATCCTACAAAAGATTTAATATAGAATAATAATAAAGGTTGAAGAGGTTTTTCCTGGATCCGACGGAGTAACGAGGATAGCTCGTGTTAAGACCGCGACCGGGTTATTTATGCGTCTTGTTTTATGCCTATGTCCTTTACCTAACCAATAGTTTTCGAAATGTATTACTAGGTTAGATTAGTAATTATAGTTGGGCGGGAATTAGTCTACTCCTAACTTTTTGACATTATCAGTAGGACTAGATTAACACCTATTCTGTTCTCCTGTCCGGCGAGAAATTTGGCGAATGGCTTTGGGGGAGAGCGCAGGTCGTGTTGATCCCCAGGGCAAGTCTGAGGAGGAGGATGTCCGATAGGAGTAATAGTGTTCTGTGCAGATGATCCTCTTTTTCTTTTCTTTCATCCCACCCCCTTTACCTACCTCAATCCATGGTGTCAAGCGTACCATGCCGATGGATGCTTGGCTGGAGGTAGTCTAATCGCAAACGGTGCCTACCCGAGACCAGGGCGATTCGGATAATATTTTAGCCCTTCCCTTGGCATGCGGGGCTCTATCAGGGGTGACCGAGTATTTCCCTAGCTAATCGCGGGAACAAAATGGACGGAAACCGACATTTTTGAAAAGATAATGATAAATCTCCTTTAATGGAACTGTAGGTTTGGAACAGGCTCTTTTAGCCTCACCAATATCCTGCAACAACCTGGGACTACCCGTGAAGTGGACGGCACGTTTGCAGCCGAACCACGATGCGAAACGAACCAAAGAGGGGAAAAAATCGCCAATAAATTATAATTTTCACCCTCTATTTGGTTTGTAGGCCCTAATTTCATTAATTTGTGAGCTATCCGCGTAGTTGATGCCTCAAAAGAAAGAACAATAACCAAGAATGTTTTTAAAAATGTTTGAACGAAAACACCATCTACGCAAATGAAAATCAAAGCCAAAAAAAAACACCATCCGTATTTTTTAATGTCGTCAAATAACAGCTTTCCTCAATCTTTAAATAAATAATTGACATCAAATATCTGTAAAAAAAACTTATTTCATGACACAGATGCCTGAATCATGTTACATTAGACTTTTTACACATTACTTTAATAAAATAAAATAAAAAGTAAATGATTTGTCTTTCAAACTGGCCACAATTTACAACTAACTCCAAAACTATGGGTTTTGTCATCAAAAATCATTAAAGCTTGATAAAAATGAAATAGCCGCACTTCGTCTAAGACGAGTTGGGTTCAAATGGTTCCGAATAGTCTATACTAGCTCCGCTTTACGGCTTTGCATCGACCTTCCAAACAGCCTATATAACAATTGACAGTGGTAGAGCCACGCGGTAGCTTTGCTGCTGCACGTATGGTCGGGCTCAAACCGGGGTGGTACCACGACTTCACAGAATACCGGCTTGAAGTGGAAGCTCTGCTTACGCGTTTCGTCTGGTGAGTGCAGGTGACCGGAGGCCCAAATCCCCGCCTCCCCATTAACATGGTAGTGGAATTAAATGTCATACTACCCCAGGAGGGTACCAGTACCCCTGATGACGGAGAATCTCTCGCTGAGCATCCATGACCAAGTTATCCTACTCTTCTGCTCTTTCTGACGGAGACGCAGGTGTCCTTTCCGGCTGATGCTTCGTATCTCTCCTACCCGGGGTACAAACTGGAACACTCCTTTGTGCCTTGGGCTGGAGTTTGCGTATACGTCAGAGAGGACATCTGTTCTCGACGCCTCAGCAGTCTTGAAGTTCGGACCTGTCCATCCTTTACGCGTAGACAGGGACGACCATCCGCGCTTCTAAGGGTGCTTCTATAGGTCTCATAGCGGTAATGCCAAAACAGACCGACTGTACGACCGAATCTAGCCATTTACGTGGCTACAGATTCGTTGCTACAGCAGATCCCCTCCGCAGAGATTGTGATCTTCGGAGATTTTAACACCCACCACGCCGAACGGCTTGGTTCACGTTTAACCGATCATGCGGGGGAGATCTGCCTTGGCATATGGTCTGACACAACTGGTTATTTCGCCTACGCGGATTCCAGACGTAGAGGATCATGCACCTTCCCTGTTGGACCTTCTGCTGACCTCTCATCCGGACAGATATGAGGTCTCCGTCGATGCCCCTCTTGGCTCCTCGGATCATTGTCTTGTCCGGAGTGTGGTGCCACTCACGCTGAAATCGCGGTTGCATTCTGCACGCTGCCGCCGTGTTTGGCACTATAGGTCATCCGATTGGGATAGGATGCGGTCTTTGCATCCTACCCTTGGGGGCGGGTTTGCTTCTCGCCGGACGATCCCAACGTTGTTGCTGACTCTGTCACTGATGTGGTACTTCAGGGTATGGAACTTTTTATTCCTTCCTCTGTGGTACCCATAGGAAGCAGATCTCAGCCATGGTTTAGTTGCTCCTGTAAAATAGCATCATGCTGCAGGAGTACCACCGGGCCTGGGCTGAAGTATCATCTTCATGAGATGTAAACACCAGCGCCCTAAAAAAGAAGTATAATTCCGCCTCCAGGTCCTTCAAAAGAGTCATTGCCAAGGCAAAGTCAGAGCACATAGGCAGAATGAGCGAGAAACTAGTTCGCCGTCCTTCTGGAACCCGTGCATTCTGGTCTCTCGCCAAGGCTGTCCAAGGGAATTTCTGTCAGTTATCTCATCCTTCTCTGCACAGGGAGGACGACTCACTGGCCCTTGCCGCAAAGGTGAAAGCCGATCTGCTCGGCTCTTTCTTTGCGTCCAACTCGACTCTCGATAACGGGGGGAGCATGCCGCAGACCATCCAGCGGTGTGAGTGCTCTATACCGGAGGTGCGGTTCTCACAGCGCTCGGTTGGCAAAGCACTTCCCTGGACATCCACAATTCGAGTGGGTCTGACAGAATCCCCCCAATTGTGACAAGGACGTGCGGTCCAGAGTTGGCACCGGTTCTAACGCGTCTTTTCCTCCTACTCCCTAGGCGTAGTCCCGAAATCATGGAAGACGGCTTTTG